CTTCGTGGTGTCCATGCCAGTCTGGACAGCTCCTTTGGCCACATTCACGGCACCAGTCATGCCACTGCATATGGTGTCCTTAGTGCCTGTTAGGACAGTCTTGGTGGTATCCAGGCCAGTCTGGACAGTACCCTTGGCCACATCCACTGCACCTGTGACCCCAGTGGCCACAGTCTCCTTGGTGCCCATGAGTGCAGACCGGGTCATGTCTAGGCCTCCCTGCACCACACCTTTAGCTGTGTCCACCATGTTGGCCATCCCGGAGGAGATGGCACCCTTGGTCTTGGTCATCTTAGAGCACACCAGGTCCTTTGCCCCAGAGATCATCTGGTAAGAAAGGACACATGTGGTCAAAAGGAGAGCTGGAGACACTATACCCCAGACTTCAGCCAAGCTGATCCTTTGTGTGCCTTCAGGAGGGGGACTGTCCCCCAGAAAGCCTGCCACTCACCTCCCACCCTGACATACTTTCCTCTCGTGCTGGTATCCAGCCTCAACCAGCCCTGTCCCAGTGCCAGATCATCCCCATTGTTGATGGCAGGTCCCTACAGCTCTGGAGCCCTTGCCAAAGTCCCCTGAACTTGGGCTCAGTGCCACTGACCGAGTGACACCGTGTGTTCACCCTGCCTACTCTTTACTTTTGGCAGATTTCAAGCCTGGTTTCCCCATGAGTCTGGAGACCAAGTCGCTCATTAAACGGAACGTCTTCAAGTGAGAAAGGAGAATCAACATTTAGAAGAGTAATACTTGCTAAAGGACAGGGACAAGTGTTGGAGTTGAGTCATGGGACCCCGTCAGTGATTTTCATCACTTTTGACCTCCCAAAGGGCGGTTTCTCCAGTTAGTTAAACTAGCAAAGGGTGGTGACGGTCTGAGTGCCAGCACGCAGTTTCAAGCACGAGTGTGCTGTTTGTAATCTAGGGCTCCTGCACTGGGGTGTTTCCACCCTCCATGGGACACCGGGCAGTGTCTGCGGACGTCTGGGCTTGCCGAGACTCGGGGGAGAGGGTGCTCCTGGCATCGAGTGCACCCCCTCCCCGTCATCGGGACAGCCTCCACCTGCCCAAAGTTCAGGTACTACCATACCACGCCTTGCTGTGTGATCTTTGGCAGGTTGCTCGCCTTCTCTGTGCTTCACCTGCCGTGTGGGTTACTCTGGCTCCCTTTCTCCTGGGGCTGGTCAACTCTGAAGCAGCATGTGGAAAGCCTTCAGCCCAAAGCACGACACATGATGAGTTCCCCGTGTTTTTAGTCCCGTGATGCGAGACAGAGCTGGGACAGGGTCGGGGGCTCTCTGTTGATCACGTGGAGCCTTGCCATGCCCGGCAAGAGGGCAGGACCGTGCCATGTCACCGACGTGCCAACAGAAGCTTGGAAGGGAACCAGTGCCTGGAATCCCACAGCAGGACACACACAAGGGTCTGCCCTCGGCTTGGCCTATGACAGCCCCTCAGAAGGCAGGAACCGAAACAGCCTGGGAGGGGCCCCAGAAGGAGCGGAGGCCATCAGGCTCTGCCAGTGCCTCTCACCTTATCCGAAGGCGGCGGCAGCTTCTCCCCACGCTCCGTCGGGTCCAGGTTGGTGGCTGCTGGGAGGACAGGAGCTGGTCAGGCAACCAGGAAGGGCGAGGGACGTGGGCTGGCATCAGCCACCCCAGTGCCCGTTGCGCAATTGGTGGGCACAGCTGAAAGGTCAGGAATGTCCCAGCTGCCCTGCCAGGGACAGCAGGAGATGACATCCGTGGCCATTGGTCTGGTGTTGTCACTGGCCCTGCCAGAGGCTCCCCTGACCTCCGGGGTCTCAGGCTCCTCTCTGGAGTTTTCCCTGCCTGGACACTCCCCGGAGGGGGACCTCAGGAAGAGGATTCAGGGCCCCGCCCCCCCCAACCCTGCCGCAGCTGGCAGCTGCCCATTGGGCCCAGGTATGTGGAGCAGAAGTCAGCTGCTCGGGGCTCTGGCCCAGAGTGAGGCCCGGTCCAGGAAGCCGCCCCAACCCCAGGCTCCCCTGCATCAGCCCCTCTGTGTGCCCTGGGGCTGCCCAAAGGGTGGAGGGCCCCCCCAGACTGTGTGACCCCCTGGAAGCCAGTGCCCCTTTCTGGGAACGGGGAGGGGAAATCTTCAGTGAGCTCAGACATGGGGAACACCCAGTCTCTGGTCCATGGTGCATCAGAAATGGGGTGGGAGGCAGGTGAGGGGTCGAGAAAGTAAGGGACATGGCAGGGAGACAGGCTGTGTTCACATGCTACTGTGGGCCACTCACCTGCCGTCTTGATGCCTCAGTTTCCCCATCTGGTGCTAAATGAGCATGCTGGCCCGGCGTGTCTATTGAGATGATGCTGACACATGTGAACCACCCCCCAAATAGCCAAAAGCCCCGTTAGGAGGTTTCTTCCTGGGGCCCACCCCCAGAGCCCCTGCCTCCATGGAGCTGTCCACTCACCCTCAGTCTGGGGCTGGGCAGAGGCACCTGTGGGATCTGCGACGGGCCGGGCCTCTTTTGCTGAACTGTGGGCGCCGGCCATCAGGTTCCGTGCAGAACTGAAGCCAGGCAGAGACCCGAAGAAGCTCCCCAGGGTCTATAAGGGGCAAAAGGGCAGGGCCAGACCTTAGGGGCAGGGCAAGGAAAGCATCAGACAGCCTGGGGTTCCTGGGTCACCTCACTTTTGCTCCTGGGTGGCCCCAGGAAGGAGTCTTAGCCTCTCTGAGGCTCAGTTTCCTTGTCTGGCGAATGGGCAGGGTCAGCCTGCCTCCCATACAGAGGAGAAGGTCATCCTTCGGGTCTCTAAAGACCTTTTCCTTTCACGGCCCCCATTTCACAGATGGGGAAACCGAGGCCCAGAGAGGGGCCATGGCTGGCTCAAGATCACACAGTGAAGAAGGAGCTGAGGGTTGCTTGGGTCCCCCACTCCTGCCCTCGCCCTCCAGCTTGGGACAGCAGAGAAGTGTGGGTTCCATGGCTCTCGGAGCCTTCCCGCCCCACCTGGGAAGCCCCTCTGGACCCCAGTACGGGGAGGTCACCTTCTCAAGGCTCTGGGGGGGTCCCGGGCCCTGGCAGGGATCTCCCCCTCCCACGCCTCCCCTTACCTTGCCCTTGGGTTTGGGAGGATCCCGGCCTCCTTTGTCTGGGGCAGACATGGTGATGATACCCTAAGCAGCTGGAAGGGGGCAGAGAGGGTGTGTGAAGAGAGGCCCCCAGGCAGCCCCCGACCACACCCCCAGCCCCAGCCCCACCCTGGCATTGCCCACCTGGAGTGAGTGAGGGCCCCTCGGAGCCACAGGAGGCACGGCTGGCAGCCGGCTCTGCTCTCGGCTACCAGGCCTTATAGGGTCTGGGGCAGGCACGGCCCGGCCCGCAGAGGCAGGCAGCCAGCTGGGGGAGGGCCCTGGGCAGTCACGTGCAGCCTGCCCTGCCCAGCGTGGGCTCTGGGCCCAGCACCTTTCCCCTGCTATCAGCACCAGGCGGCCTCTGCCCACGGCCCCCACCCCCACTGGATTGATGGATTTTAGGGCCATCCCATGCCCCCGAGGCACTGCCTGCACGCTCATTGAGGCTCTGCTGGGATGCCTTGGCCGGTGAACACCCTGGGGCCTCAGTTTACCCTTCCAGCCTCCTCACCATGGCCCACAAGGTCCTGTTGTCTCCTGGTCCTCACCTTCTCCAGCTCTCTGACCCCTGCACATTCTGCTCCAGCGCACCAGACTCCTTGCTGTCCCTCCAGCGCACCAGGCATGGGGCTTCCCCAGGACCTTTGCACATGCTTTCCTTCTACCCGAGGGCCCTTTTGCACAGCACACACTCCCTCTCTCTCCTCCCTCAGGCCTGTTTTGTTCCCAGCAAGGTCTCCTGCAATCACTTTATACCTGGCACACACACAGCATTTAATAAACATTTGGCTAAATGGGCCAACTCATAGGACAGTTCTGAGTGCAAAGTGTGTCAAGCATGTGACCTGTTTACCCCAGTGCCTGGTACCCAGCAGGTACTCAACAAACATTAGCTTAGCATTGTCCAGGCAGAAAGAGAGGAACAGGGTCTCTCCTGGGCAGGGAGGGGATGTGTCAATCTCCAGGAGGGATTTCCCTCGATAAATTAGGGCCAAAATGCAGATAGGTCCAGGGTGCCAAGAGAGCCGGGGGATCTTGGGAGTGAGATCGAGGCCTGGTGGGCTTGGGACAACCCAGGGTGACTTCTTGGAGGCATCCTCTGCCTGAGGCCACAGAGCCAGAAAGCGGCAGAGACAGGATTCGAATGCAGCCCAGAGTCTATGCACAGAGTGGGCTGTCTGTGGGTTGGTACAGAGGCCGGCAGACAAATGACGCCCTCCCTGAGCTAAGTTTCCCCCTGACTGCTCCTGGGACAGGGATCCCAGTTGTGTGCTGGTAGGGTAGGGGACAGACCCCATTGGTGGCTCTGGGCACTGAGCTGGGAGGAGGGAGGGCTCAGACACAGCCTGATGACCCCCAAGTCATCTCCTTGGAGCTATCGCTGTGTTTGCCAAACAGTTGCGGAACAAAATAGGGATGTCCCCCAAACTCTAACCTCCCAGCCAATCCTTCCCAAAGGTGGCAGGGGAGAGGAGGGAAACCTTGGGTGTGCTCCTCCCCTTCTCACAGGCTGCCACAGCACCGTGAGGGCAGAGAAACCCAGCCAAGGTAATAAAAGTGATCACAAACATCTGAGTCACGTCCCGCCCTCCTCTGCCCAAAGCCCCCCAGGGATCCCACCTCCCTGGAGCAAACCCTAGTTTTCCTCACGGCCCTGGCCCCTATCACCTCCCTGTCCTCCCCTTCTCCATCTCTCCCCTCGACTCATTCTGCTCCAGACACACTGTTCCTCCAACACACCAGGGCCAGTGCTGCCCCAGGGCCTTTGCACAGGCAGTGCCTCCTGCCCAGAATGCTCGTCAGTCTTTGCTCTGAGAGGTCTTCTTGGACCCCCTTCTCCTATTTAAAAATATACACCCTTCCTTCTACCCTCACACGCCCCCCCCATCCTCCAACCCTTTTATATTTTTCATCATCTATACAACTAAGACATAATTTGCACATAGTTTGTTGTCTCTCCAGCTGCACTGTAAGGTCCCAGAGAGCAGGATTTTTACCTAGTTTGCTGCCTGCCTGGCACACAGCAGGTTCTCAACAGTATTTGCTTGCTGGCCGCACAGATGAATGAGTGAACAGCAGCCTCCAAACATGAAGCGTGTCCTAGGACTGAGTATGGTCACCTCACTACTTTCATACCCACCCCACAGAGAAGAATCCAGGCTCAGAGAAGGCAAGCAACTTGCCCGCCCAGGGGCAGGCCAGGCTGAGATGCAAGCGCAGGGCCGTATCTACTGACCCACCCCATTCCAAGGTTTCTCCTCAGTCCATTAGCTTTCCCTTCCCACTGGTCCTGCCACACTGACTCCCCCACTGTCCCCCAGTGCCATGCGTTTGCCCGAGTCACTCCCTCTGCAAAACACCCTTTCCGTGTGCCACCCTGCCCATCCTCACCACGCCTGGCCCTCCAGGAGCCCCCAGCCTTGTGAGGGAAGAGAAGACAAGGTTGCCTGTGGCTCTAAGTCCGAGTAGAAGGGGGTTTAGAGTCTCAAGAAGGTGAGCTGTAGATTGTTGGAGCTATCCCACTGGGGTGGAGTGAGGGAAAGCTTCCTGGAGGAGGTGGCATTGGGGCTAGGGCTTGAAGATGGATGGGATGTGTAAGAGATGGGTGGTGGGGTGGGAGAGGACTCCAGGCACAGCCTGTGCACAGGCCTGGAGGTGGGGGAATTGCAGAGTTCGGTGGGAATGCGGCATGCCAGGGTAAGGAGTTTGGATAATTGGTTTGAGGGTGAGTGGGAGCCATGGACGTTCCTGACCAGGGATGGGGAAGTTAATCTGGCTAGTGGGAGGTAGTTCAGCCTCCCAGAGCTGCCCCTGGGCCAGGTCCTAGGGAAGCCAGAGGCCACCCTGACCTCACCACATTACACTGTGGTTTCCTAACACCCCACCCAGCCACAGGGGAGTCTGAGGGGCAGCCAAGAATTCGGTCAAAGGATGGGAAGGCCCCCAAGAGACTGGCCCGTGGCCCTTCCCCTGTCTGCCCCATTTCTCCCGTGCAGCTGGAGAAATCACAGCAAGTTCAACACCCCTGGGTCTAGGGAGGTTGGCATAGGACAGGCTGCCCTGTCTGACTTCTTTCTCCCTCTGATCCCGTTCTCTGCAGTTGTTAAGAAATTCATTTATACTAAAGTGTGAATAGCTTCCATTCCAGGAAGCTGCATCTGGGTGCCTAACCCTTGTGGGCCGGGCACTAGAGGTGGGACTCGACAAGTTGTCAAGCTGGTCAGAGAGGCATTCTCACGCTCTCAAATCTCGAACCTTGGCTTGTGCCATGCAGTCACACACCTGAGGTCCCCGGCACTCTGCAACTAAGACCCACCCAGGCCTGAACAGGGGCCATAGGCCTTTGAACAACACAAAGCACCTTTATTCCGGAGCACAAAACCCCAAAGGGCAAAGCAAGTGGGTGTGCAGGCCCAGAGGATACAGCTGGCTATCTTCGGGGACCCCCCAGTCCAGGGTGTACAAGGTGGTAGGGGAGGAGGGTGCTCCCTTTTCAAAACCCCGAGTAGAAGCCATTGGGCAAAACGTGTGCTTCTATGGGGAGTTTTGATCCGTTTCTTGGGGTTCAGGGAGGGGGGCCACCGACAGATGAACCCAGCCAGAGGCTAATGGGACCTGAATTGGGTTCCAGTCCCCATATGCCCAAGGGAAGGACTGGAGAGGGCCTGGGGTCAGTGAAGCTGGTCTAAGATGGCGACTTCAGCCCCCCGCACTCCCACCCTGCACCCAGGCCGAGGCCACCGCATGGGCTGTTAGTGCGCACACGCGGCCACTAGGGGGCAGCAGGGATCTCGGATAGAAGCGGGCCTCTGGTCAGAAGTCCAGCTCTGGCATCAGGGTGTGCTTGGGCGTACTGGGGGGCACGGGTTCCTCCTTGGGAATGTCCTCTGGGAGGGCTGGCCCGTCCCCGTGCTCGGCCTCCCAGGCTCTCTGCTGGGCCGGCCAGTCCAGGTGAGCCCAGGAGGGGTCGGGGCCCCCCACGACCTCGTCCACCAGAACCTCCAGGTCGGGTGGCGGCGCAGACCGCTCCACGAGGATGGGCGCAAAAGGCCCCACCAGCCAGGGGAGCGGCACGGCCTGCACCACCAGCTCCAGCAGCTCATCCACACAGGCGTGGGCCCGGGCCACACTGCCCCGGCCCTCGGCCAGGGCAGCGGCGGGAACGTCCCCGAAGCGGCGGGCGTCGGCGAAGGCGGACTGCAGGGCGTCCACACTGCGCCGCACCTCGGCCACCTTCTCCTGGGCGCCCGGGGGCAGGCCCCGCACGCTGCTCTCCAGCGCGTCCACTGTGCCCTGCAGCTCCCGCATCAGACTTCGGGACAGCACCAGCGTCTCCAGCTCTGCCTGTGGGGGGAAGGAGGGGCCTCAGGGTACCAGATGGCCTCCCACCCAGACCAGCCCCTGCCTCAGTTTCTCCATGCATCCTCCAAACAGCAGAGCTCAGCACTTGGTTTGAGAGAGCTGGAGTCAGGCCCCTGGCGACCCGGGCAGATCCAGAACACCCCCCCACATACTCCCCCTGCTCACCCTCTCCCTCCCACCCTACCTGGCTGCGGCGGCGGCCATTCTTTGGGGAGCGCTGGCTCCAGTCCTCCCAAAGCTCATGCACCTTCCCAGGGCGGGCAGGGGCAGTGGGTGTCACCCCGCACTGCATGAGGTTAATCTGAGGGGACGGGGATAGTGGTGGTCAGAGCTGGACCATTTGGGGGCTCGGGGGAGCCAGCATCCTAGCCTGGATCTGGTCTTGATAAACATCTAGAGAACATCTTCTTCCCTGCAATCTTCCCCCGCCTGCTGATCCAGCCTGGCCCACCTGCCCGCTCTGTCCTCTGCTCTTGGCCAGACCGAGACCTGTGGGTCCCCTAAAACTCAGGCTCACTTTGCCTGTGCTGCTCCCTCTGCTGGCGACACACTTCCCTCCACTCTATGCCCCTGCCTGGTTCGCTCCAGTTTAAGTTTCAGTGTAGACGACTCCCCTTCCAGGAAGTCTTCCCTCCTGTCCAGGAGGCCGGGCAGATTCCACAACCCCTCACATGTCTCCATCCAGGGCCCTGATCCCCCTACTGCACCCCCACTGTGTCTTCGGTGCCCGGGACAGGGCAGGCATTAGGAAATAAATAGAAATAAAGTGTGGTCCATCTGCACTCTGGAATATGATTCAGCCTTGAAAAGGAAGGGCATTTTCACCCCTGCTACAACGCGGATGGACTTTGACGACGTTGTGCTTAGAGATAAACCGTCTCAGGGCTCATAGGCGCCCTCTGGTGGGTGCTGTGGGGAGGACAGAGTGGAGTCCTTGGTGGGGCTGGGGGTGGGCTGGCTCTGGGTTCGAGAAGAGGAGGGGGAGCTATGGGCAGAGCTGGGGTACTGGCTGATGTGCGGGATGTGGGATCAGAGGAGAAGAGGGGAGTCGGGGCTTGCTCCGGTGTTGACCTGAGTCCCTGGAAGCATGGAGGTTGAGAGGCAGCAGGAGGAAGAGGTTAGGGGCGTCTGAACTTATCCAGCTCAGTTAAACAGGAGCTGCCATGGTCCTTTGGAGCAGGGAGGGATGGCCAGTGAGGGAAGAGGCAAGAACCTATAGGTTGGGGAGGGTTGGGATTGGTGGCAGGAAAGCAAGGGAAGGGGAACTTTTTCTCTCTCCTGAACTACCCTAACTGCCTATAAATTCCAGCTCTTGCTTCTCCCCCCACCGGACGAAACCCCTTCCCGTCTCCCCAGGCTGAGCCTTGACTCCTCCCTGAGCTGCCTCAGCCCCAAACACACACAGCTGGAGGCAGCCGAGCTCGGCTGTGCCTCCCCCTTCAGACCAGCTCAGGACCAGGTCCTCAGTCGGCACTCGGTCCATGCCTACTGGCCTGCATCGTGGCGGGGGCGTGGACAGAGGCTCTCACCAGCTCCAGCGTCTCCTGCAGCTCGGCCAGCGTGTCCTGGGCGTGGTGTTTCTTCTGCCTCAGTTTCCCCAGGGAGTGTTCATATGCCAGGTGGCGGAGCCGCGCGGACAGGGAGCCCAGACGTACGAAGTAGCCCTGGTGTTTCCTCTGCTCCTCCACAGAGCCCACTTCCGGGCCCTCAGCCTCGGCTGCCAGGGCCGCTGGGGGATGGGACAAGGGAGGGGGTCAGCATGGCCACGCCGCCACATCTGCTCACTCTCCTTCTGGGTGGACAAGCCCACGAACTTCCTAATTTATCATTTCCTTTACCAGTATCAACTCACTTAACCTTCCCCAGACCCTAGGACGTAGGCACTACTATTAGCCCCATTTACAGATGAGGAACACTGAGGCAAAGGGAAATGACGTCCCACGGCATGCAAGAGGCAGATCTGGGATTCCAACCCAGGCACTCTTAACCCCTCGACTAAACGGTCTGTGAAGGATATCCTGCAGGCCCTTCGCATACAGTAGGTGCCTCATAAATGACTCGCAGCCTTTCTGCAGATGAGGGAGTGCCTTGACACACTTTTCCCAGGCCCTAAAGCAGGGGCTGGGAGGTCAGATCGTCTCTGGGGTCAGAGACAGGAGGTAGAAAGTTGGAGAATGGTGCTTTTTGTTTTGTTTTGTAAGATTTTATTTTTTGAGTCCTCTTTACCCCCAATTTGGGACTCAAACTCACAACCCTCAAGTCTCTGAGCCCCTTAGACTCTTAGGGCCTGTGTGGTCTGATTTCTAGCAGAATGTGGGTTGGGGAGCCATGGATGGGGATGCAGATGTCAGGCCCAGGCTCAGCTCAGTGTTTCCTGCTGAACTGCTGTGTGGCCCTGCCCAATTCCCAGACTTCTCTGATCCGTCCCCACCTGGGATGCGGACTGAGCAGAAGGATTAGGGGCAGGGCAGGGCGGGAGGGTGGCGGCCTCACCGAGCTCGTCCTCAGTCATGGGCAGGAAGTGGTCCACCAGCTCCTCTGACTTGCCCAGCACGACGTCCACGGCGTGGCTCATGGAGCGCTTTAGGTCCACGCTCCAGCGGCGGCTCTGCCGGGCCAGGCCCACCATGCCCGTCACACCACTGGCCACCGTATCCTTGGCCGAGGTCACCACCTGGTGGGAGGGGGCTCCTTCCAGATTTTGACTTCCTTCTCTCAGCCCAGCTCCCTGGGGCTCGGTATCAAGGGGTCCCTGGCCCCTCCTGGCTCTGGGCCTCGATTTCCCTTCTATAAGATGGAGGCAAAGAAAAGTTCTCCCGCACGGGGTTGTTGAGGGGATGACGGGCCCCAACCTGCTAGACTCAGGTGCTGATTATTTTCATCTGGCTGGTGTTTTTTGAGTTGGACCCAAACCTGACTCAGCCCCCCTGTCCAGGCTGGTCCTGGGGAGGCTGCGCTGCTCCCTCCCACCTCCACCCCTCCCTGGGTCCCCACCGACCATCTCAGAAGGTTGCTGGAGAAAAGGCAGCTTCTCTTCCAGCTTATCCAGACCCCGGCAGGCGAGGTGGTTCACTGTGGCCACTGGAGGGGAGAGGCAGGGAGTGAGGGCAAGGGGAGTAGGGAGAGGTAGAGGGAGGCCAGGGCCACCCCTCAAGGGGCTGGGGACCCTGAGGGTGGGGGGGGCACCAGGCTGGACCCCACCACTTCTACTGTCCTCCCAGCCTCAGCCCTGCCACCAGGCTGCCACCGGTGCCAAGGTGACTCCCCGTTCATGCCCGGCTCAGATGCCCCAGAGAGCAGGTTCAAGGTCACCCAAACTGGCCGAGGAGGAGGCGGGGAAGGCCCTGAGCTGGGACCCTCCGGTGACCCCCTTCCTCGGTCAGATGTGAAGTCAAGGTCTTCGATCCACCCCCACCCCTGTGCCAGGCTGGACCCCTCAGCTGGTCCCAGGAGTCCAGGGATATGTGGGGCTCGGGACATGCAGGGGCAACGACAGAGAGGAAGACGGGGAGGGAGGTGGACAGGCAAAGGGACCTGAGGTGTGTCAGGCCACTCAACCAGGGAGGACATCAAGACACACAGGAAGGGGACAGAAAGAGGGCGGCCCAGATAAATAGCCAAGAACGGAGGTTCAGGCAATCAAACCACAGAGGGACAACCTACAGGGCGATGCAGGTAGAATCAGGGGTGGGGGTGGGGGCAGGCGGGGTGCGGGAGATGGCGCTGGCAGGACTGGGGGAGGGTGAGACATGTGGATGGGGGGACAGAGAGGTGGACGGACTAAACGGCACTCTCAAGGAGGTCCCAACTCAGCAGGTGCCCTCCAGAGCCTGTCATGGGGATGGAGCAGGAGGGGACGGGGCGGCTGGGACATACTGCAGGACCCAGGGTCTTGGGGGGTGGGACCCAGGGTCGTAGGGGGTTAGGGGGGCGGGGTGGGACTCACGCTGGGGCTGCAGGTGGCTGAGCAGCGGCTGGGCGTGGTCCAGGGCGCGGGTGGTCAGGCCACATACGCAGTGCTCGGCCAGACGGCAGGCAGAGCCCAGCAGCGGGTGCCTGTCCTTGGCCGCGCTGTAAGCATCGAAGACTGCGGTGCACGTGGTCCTGACCAGCGGCAGGGCCACCACGCGCTGCACCACGTTCTGCGGGAAGAGGTGGCGTCAGAGGGGCCCCTGATGGGGTGGGGCGGGGGTGGGGGTGTGTGGGGAGCTCAGCCACACCTCAGTCCACACGTCCCCTCTCTGGGCCAGGATGACCACGTAGGCGAGAGGGTTGGGGGGACTGCGCAGGTAACCTGGGGCTTCAGCCTCCCCATCTGTAAAATGGGTTTCTAGGGCTGGGAGAGTCATAGGCGTCAAGTGCCGGGAGCGGGGTTGATGCAGTCTTGGGCAGAGACCCGGGGGTGGGGGAGGGAGAGACACTCCCCGCTCCCGGCACCACTGTGCCCCTTTGGGAAATGAGTAGGCTGTGCCACCTCCTCCATGGTCCAGAGGGGGTACCTGGCCTGAAACTGTCCCAGAAGGGATATATCCCCCCACTCTGGCCTGTGCCCCTCCTCCGTGGGAAGGGCAGCCCCGCACCTGCTGGTTCTGTTCCCACAAGCCGGTTCGGGGGGACCGGGCAGCCTCATCTTCTGACATGCCTGCTGCGAACACCCTACGGGGCAGGACAGGGTGAGAGGGGCCTCTACACACCAGCCCCCCGGGTCCTGCCCAGGCCTTGGATTCTGTCCCGCTGGGCTTGGTGACTTGGGCAAGTATTGTTCTCTCCTGCGACCTCAGTTTCCTCAAAATAGGGTAATGATGGGGCACCCGCATGGCTCAGTCCGTCGAGCACCCGACTCCTGGTTTCAGCTCAGGTCATGATCTCAGGGTTGTGAGGCCTGTGTTGGGCTCTGCGCTCAGCAGCGGGTCTGCTTGAGATTTTTCTCCCTCTCCGTCTACCCCTCCCGGGCTTGCACACCCACACTCTCTCTCTCCCAAATAAATAAGTAAATCTGTAAAAAAAAAATGAAGGTAATGGTAGTACCTACCTCAGAGTGTCATGAGGGACATGGACGATGCGACAATGTGTGCACAGGGCTCTGCACACAGCAGGTGCACACTAGAGAGCTCTGGCAAGGTGGGGACACTGTAGTGATTCAAAGCATGGGCTCTGGAGAGAGAAAGACCTGGATTCAAATCTTGCCATTACCTGCTGTGTGACTTGGGGCAAGTGCCTTCACCTCTCTGAGCTGTTTCCCCTTCTGCAAAGGAGAGGAGGTGCCTGCCGTCCCTCCCCACCCCCAACTCACCCTTCCCCGACAGAACTGCATATGCAGCCCCCTGCAGGGGTGGAGGAGGCAGCTGCAGAATCCCAGTGAGTCCACAGACAGGGAAACTGAGGCGGCCAGCAGGTCCGTGGTGTTTCCAAAGCCACTCATCTAAGCGGACTCAGAGTGGGGAGTTCGACCTGAGGCTCCTGCTCGCAGTTCTTCCTTTATCTCCACCCTGTGCCCTCAGAGCTCTGGTCCCCGCCCAACTGGGTCCTGAGCTTCAGCCAACTGGGCCAAGGGTCTCGGCCACCTGCTCTGCCCGTCGTCCCCCTCCCTTCTCACGCCGCTCGATCCTCTCCCTCCCACCCGATCTGGAGCCCCCAAATCTGCGGGGCTCTCCTGGACGCCCTCCGCGTGGCACTCACCTGGGCGCGTGCAGCCACAGCCTCCAAGTGCCCCTGCAGACCCCAGACTCTGGCTCCAGTCTCCGCCCACCGCTGGCCCCTCCCGCCTTATAGCGGCTCGGGGGGGGGGGGGGGGGCGGGCTTCTGGGACTGACCAATGGGGAGGGGCCGGGCGGAGGCGTGTCTCGGGGGCGGGGCTCCAGCCTACCCTCCACACCCTGCGCGCTTCCCTGGGGTTCTGTCCCGGTCGCGGTCGGAGTCGGGGTCGGGGAGGGGATGGGGGGAAGAGGAGGGAGCTCTGCAGTTGTCATAGTAACTTGAGGACGCTGGATGCCCCAGGATTGAGCTACTTTCCTCGGCCAGTTTTGGCCACCTGTCACCCTGCTGTTGCCGCGGAGACAGCGGGAGGACGATCCTGCAGCTCCCACCGCCTCCCAGAGGAGTGACCTTGGACAAGTCCTCAAGGTCCTTCTGGTTATTTTAAAAAATCTGCCATTTAACTTGGCCAGGAATCCGGGCCGGCCCATTCCCTTGGATCCCCACTTTACAGATGAGCAAAGTGAAGGATCCAATTCAAACCCCACTCGGCCAGACTCCAGGCTCCTCCCTGGCGTTCATCATCATGCCTGGAATGACCACCAATGTGGCCATGACCATTCTTCCAGGGACCCCTCCCCCAAACGCCCAGGGGTCCTCCCAAATCTGACTCTGGCTCCCAGCATGCCCAGCACTGTGTCAGCAGGTGGCCCAAGGTTCTGAGTGGGAGGAACACAGGCTCCTATGCCTTCAGCTCCACCCAGCCCGCCCAAGCCCACCCTGGGTGGGTGCCTATCCCCCCAGCTTGTCATGGGCCAGCATGACAAATTGTTCAGAGACCTGAAGCAATCTGGTTTAATTTAAACCTTCCCCAGGACACAAGCTCTGGCAGGAATCCACCGGTAAAATGACACTCTGGGCAATGGTCAGTGTTTTATTTCCAGTTAAGTCCTGGATGGGGGGAGGGGAGGAGGAGTCACGGGCCATCAGATAACCACTGCCATTCCTCTGGAAGCTTATATCTTGCACCCCAGGTCCTGGGTCAGGCCTCTTCTTTCCTTCTCCTTCCTTCTTCTTCTTCTTTTTTTTTTTTTAAGATTTTATTCATCCATTTGACATAGAGAGAGGTCACAAGTAGGCAGAGAGGCAGGCAGAGAGAGAGAGAGAAGCAGGCTCCCCACGGAGTGGAGAGCCCAATGCGGGGCTCGATCCCAAGACCCTGAGATCATGACCTGAGCTGAAGGCAGAGGCTTAACCCACTGAGCCACCCAAGTGCCCTCCTTCTCCTTCCTTTTGGGGAAGACTAGGAAGTCAACCTGGGAGGTGCTTGGAACACAGTGAATTCTGCTTGAATTCCAATTCCATTCCACGGTTATTTCTTAAGCCCTCAGGTCTGACCCCAAACTGAATGATGCTGGCTATGAGGGAAGACAGACCCAGGCCCTGCATTCGGAGACCCCGCCCCCCGCCCACAAAGTGGGGAGGCAGAACCAGATAGAGACAACCCTTGCATAGCCAGGGCTGGGCCAGAGGGACCCGAGCAGGCTGAGGGAGCCTGGAGACCAAGAGATCTGGAAAATGGGGAAAACATTCTTTTCTCTTTTTCTTTTCTTTTAAGTAGGCTCCATGGCCACCGTGGGGGTTGAACTCACGACCCTGAGATTAAGAGTCGAGTGCTCTACCGACTGAGCCTGCCAGGTGCCCCCAGGGAAAGACATTCTTGGAAGAGGGTACAGGCGGCTGGAAAGCCTCACATACATTTTGGGCCGAGCGGGTCCTGGCAGCTCTGGGAAGCTGAAGGTGAATTATTTGCTGAGTGGCGTGCGCTGAGCTGCCCGGCCTGTCTCACCACCTCGGCCCCAGGCCTCAGTGGGATTTGGCTGCTTCCAGGAGCTTCTGGCCCTTCGAGGCTTCAGGCCCAGCGCAGCGTGTGGCATTCTGGGAGAACATCTTGTCTCTGTTGGCCACAAGCCACCCATAGAGGTCGTCCAGTTTCTCATCACAGATCCAGGGGTTCCCAGAGATGTCAAAGCCATCCTTCATGTCTCGGGTGGGCTGCCCCAGGGATGTCCAGAGCCCTTTGGGGACGCCGGTGAGCAAGTTGTTGGAGAGATCGAGCATATCCAGCTGCCGCAGGCCTTGGAAGGCGCCGGCGGCCATGGTGGCCAGCCTATTGTCGTTCAGGAAAAGGTAGCGCAGGTCTGGCTGGGGTGACAAGAGCCCCTCTCCGAGCACCTGCAATCTGTTGCCCTCCAGGTGCAGCCTCTCCAACTGCAGGGGGCCCCGCAGAAGGTCAGGGGGCAAAGTCTTCAACTGGTTATTGCTGAGGTCAAGGATGCGCAGGGAGGTGAAGTTGGCCAACAGCCCAGGGGGCAGCGTCTGGAGGCGGTTCCCGGATAGGTCCAGATGCCCCAAGGCTTGGAGCCCCTCCAGCCACGAGGGCTCCAGGATTTCCAGCCGGTTCTCTTTCAGCACCAGGGTGTGGAGAGCGGCAGAGACCCGGAAGAGGCCGGGGGGCAGCCGGGTCAGGGCATTGCGGGTTAAGTCAAGCACCTTCAGCAGAGGCACCGGCAGCAGGAACTTGGGGGAGAGGCTCTCCAGCTGGTTGGTGGAGAGGTGCAGCTCCTGGAGGTTAGAGGCGCCCTGGAGGGTGTCGGCCCGCAGCTGGGTGAGGTTGAAGAACTCCACCACCAGGTAAACTGTGTCAGCGGGGAAGCGGTGAGGGAGTTTGGCAGGTGGGTGGCAGGAGACGGAGCTGCCGTTGATCGAATGGAACACCAAGCAGGTGTCCCGGCTTGGGGTGACATCCTGGGCTGAGACCACAGAGAGCAGCAGCAGGAACAGTGTTCTAGAAAGATGGGAACTCAGGCCTCCTGGGCTGCAGGCAATGACAGAAGATAGACCCTGATTCATGAAAGGGTCCCCAGACTCTGCCAACTATTTCCTGTCTCTCATCTCCACACCCGGGACCATGCCCCCTCATGGCTCCCCTGGATTCGGGCAGTCGCCCCCTGCTCCTCTCCTGGCTTCCACCCACACCCACCAAGAGCTGCCAGAAGCTGCTGCAGATCCGGAGAGCGGTCTAACTCTCCGAAAACTGAGTTTCTCAGTCTGACCCATAAATGCTACCCTTCTCCGGGGCCAGCCCAGCCCCAACAGGCTGTTAATGATTTACAGTCAAATTTGCTAATTTCTTGCTAATTTCTTCTGCTCTGGCTTGTTTTCTGGGTCATTTCTTTTTTTTTTTTTTAAGATTTTATTTATTTATTTGACAGACAGAGAGCGATCACAAGCAGGCAGAGAGGCAGGCAGACAGGAGGAACAGGCTCCCTGTGGAGCAGAGAGCCCGAAGCAGAGCTCGATCCCAGGACCCCAAGATCATGACCCGAGCCGAAGGCAGAGGCTTAACCCACTGAGTCACCCAGGTGCCTCTTCCGGGTCATTTTTTAGCTCCCTGGCTCCAAATTTTGAAGGTAGGGCCAGTGAACTCCTACTTATCCTGCAAAGTCCCAGCTCCAGTGCCCCCCTTTCCATGAAGCTTTCTTTGATTTTCCCATGGTTTCTCCTCTGGCCTCCTGCTCTTTCTATCCAAACAAGGTTCTGTTTCTTTCTCTGATGGAGCCCCAGCTCCATCTCACTCCAAAGTGCTTGGGTGCAACCCAGCACTCCAGAGGGAACTCCGAACGTGAAAAGTGCATCCTGCTTTGTGCAGATCTGGGACAGGAATTTGGCCTTAGGATGGGGTGGTTTACAGTTGGCACCACAGTCCTTGGAAGGCTGGACTTCTGCTCTTCCTGGTCCCTCCAGCAGGCCTCTGATGGGGTGTTGGTCAGAAGGTGTTGGTGAGCCTCCAAATCTCTGTCTGGCCCGGGGAACACCTGGGACTTCTGTAGTGAGTGTGTGTATGAGAGCACGTCTGTCTATAGTTACAGCTGTCGGTCTATTC